TGGGCCCCCCCGAGGGGTCCCGGTGGTCCGGTGGACCCTCCGGGTTGCAGGGCTGGGCAGGTTTTGCAGCAACTTGGAGCCGTCTTTGCGTTCCCAGCTCACGGGAGGAATTGGGTTCATCCACCACAACTGCACCCCGGAGTTCCAGGCCAACGAAGTGCGGAAGGTGAAGGTGAGTGGCTGGGGTTCGAGAACTGGGGAAGATTCCTCAGGAGTTCAGGAAGGAGGTTAGCCTGGGAGCTCTTGGGAATCTAACACCACTTGGGTGAACCTTGGTGCTGGTTTTGGGAGTTGTCCTGCTCCTGAGCATGTGGACAGATTGGGTGATTTCAGACCGTTGTGAGCAGCCGCAGTAACCACCAGGCACCTGTCCAGCTTCTGCTCGGTCTGGTGATGCCGCGTAACGTGGCTGCTGAATCTGCTTCTTTTCAGAAATACGAGCAAGGATTCATCACAGATCCGGTGGTGCTGAGCCCCAACGACCGAGTGCGAGATGTGTTTGAAGCAAAAGCTCGTCATGGATTCTGTGGGATTCCCATCACGGACAACGGGAAGATGGGGGGCAAGCTGGTTGGGATTATTTCATCTCGTGATATTGATTTCCTGAAAGAGTCAGAGCACGACTTGCCTCTTGGCGAGGTGAGAAAGGCTCGTGAGCAGCTGATGGATACGAGCATTAGCGGTGGGAAGTAGTGTGGCTTGTGATAAGGAGAAGGGTGAGGGCGTGGCTGTGAGGATGCTGCACCAGCAGGAGGGAGCAGCCCCGCAGTAGCTCTGCAGGTCCATCTCTGACTGTTTCCAGGGTAGAGCGTTCCTTTACGCTCTGTCTGCGACTCCTGCAGTGCAGAGATGGGAGAGTGGCTGTGCAGTCAGCGTTCACATGACTCCTCCCGTGGGGTTATCTTTCAGTGCGGTGGAAGCCGTGTCCTCTCCGCAGCTGGTGCTCTCCCCTGGTTCAGTCCTGGTGTTCCTGGCTGCTGCTGTGGTCTCACACTGCTGGTGCTGGCCAGGGCTGGAGCAGCTCTGCCGTGCCCAGCAAGCCCTCCAAGTGCTGATCTTCTTTTTCTGGGCTGCCTTTCCCTGTGTGCCTCATGTAGGCCACTTGCTCTTAAAAATAACCCTCTGAACTGGGAGACAGGTAGCTTGGTGTTTATGATGCTACACCATCACAGGAGAATGTTCTCTGCGATACTGATGTTGATTCCTGTTAGTGCTGGCGTTGCTGTTACACAAGATGTGTAACCGTAGATGCGCGGTGCTGTCAGGTTACGCTGTCGCTGCCTCTCAGCCAGCCTCTACTCTTGACTCACAATTATTTTTAGCTCTTGCTGACCAGACCCGGTATCACATGTTCATCCCTGTTTGGTTTGAAATCGTCTATAAATACCTGTAATAAGAATCTTAAAGCAGGAGTATGTTGTAAAAAGGGCAGATGGCCGTTTGAAGCGATGCTGGCCCATTCAGAGGAGCCAGATAAGAAGCTCCTCTCATCCTTTACATGGATCATTCAGCGCTGCAAAGTCAGAAGCTCGCTGCTCTTTGTGTTCAGTGCTTGCCTTTGTCACCAGGCGAGGCTGAGGAGATCTCAGATCTCCTAGATCCCTCCCCACTCGCAGTCCATCGTGGTGAGCCGTTCGTTGCCATTCAGCTACACAAACACATCAGTAGCTTGGGAAGCTTGTGGATCCCACAGGCTTAGGGAGTGTGTCAGGATACGTCCAGTTCCTCAGGCTTTTCTTGAGATGTGTGCTCTGTTACAGACAGGATTTTGGGTGGATACAGGTGGAGCAAACCCCTTTCCTGCTGCAAAATGTCTGGTCTTACAAATAACTAAAATGTTTCTTATTTAGCTTTGCCTGGCCTTTTATGAAAATATCTCATGCGAAGCTTGTGATGGCAGAATGCTGCGGGTGGGGAGGGACCTTCGAGGTCTCTTGTCAGGCCTCCTGCTTGAGGCGCGCTCGGCTGGACCCAGTGGCATGGGGCTGTGTCTGCATCTCCAAGGATGGAGAGATTTCACTGCCTCTCTGGGCTGCTCTTCCAGCCTTTCGCCTTTCGCCTCTATGGTGGTGAAAGTTCTTTTCTGTACACTGCGTCAGATGTTGCCGTGTTCCAACTTGTGTCCATTGCCCCTTGGCTTTCCACCGAGTGTTGGTGCTTGTTTGTCAGAGCGAGCATGTTTGTTTGTGTTGCAGCAACTCCTTTGCCCCACTGACTTTGCCAGCAGCAGCGGTGGACTGTTCTGAGCAGGGCCCTTCCAGTGAGCCATCCCTCACTTCTGAGTGCCCTTCCTCTGCTTGCTGAAGCCCTCGGCCATCTCCTGTGTTCACTACACCACTGGGTCTGGGGGCTGATCCCACTACTTGTGTGGGGGAGAGCATGTTGGAGGCTGCTCCTGTGTTTCTGGAGGCATGTTGCTGTGCTGTGGCTCCTTTGTAGAGCGTTCCCACGTAGCTGCTGTGGAGCCTTTCGCGTGGGCAGAGGGGCTCGGTATTTTCAGATCAGTGTGGAGGAGTTCTTGTGACTTTTCATCTTCTCTCTCCCACCAGATTATGACAAAGCGGGAGGATCTTGTGGTGGCCCCGGCTGGTGTAATGTTGAAAGAAGCGAATGAAATTCTGCAAAGGAGTAAAAAAGGTATGCACAAAATGTTTGTGATGCAAGGGAGAGCCATGGCAGTGCTGTACTGGGAGCAGTAGCGGGTGGATGTGGGCACACGTCGGTGTGTGGGTGGAACGCGGGAGGGCTGCATTCCAGCACAAAGAGAGGACGGTAAGGAGAGAGTGCCCACAGCCCTCTGCCAGGGTGCAGGGTTCACATGCGTTCATCTCAAATCTGTTGGAAGTTGAAGGATTCTTGGCAGCCCAGGAGCTCAAGAGCTCCTGGTTGTCCAGCCACACGTCTTCAGTTTTCTGTCCTGGCCTTCACGTTTTGTTGCTCAGTTCAGCTCTGTCAGGGTTTGGCAGCTTGACTTTTAACGCAGTGTTGTGGGCCTGATTATTAAAAGAGATGCACTTTTTCTGTGGTCACTGTTGAAAATTCTGAGTCCTTCTCCAGTCCTGCAGACTCCTTCCTCTCTTTCCCCAGCCAGGGCTGCTGGCTTCTGTGGCCAAGCAAGGTTTGGTAACACAGCTCTTCGACTCTCCATCTTGTACTTCTCCATCTTGCCACCTGCCTGATCCTTCCGATCTGATGTTTGCTCTGGGCTAATGTCTGTCTCCTGCAGAAATCCGCAGTCACGTTCTTTCTTTTTGTTCCAAGGCAAGCTGCCAATTGTCAATGAAGATGACGAGCTGGTGGCTATAATTGCCCGCACTGATCTCAAGAAGAACCGGGACTACCCTCTGGCTTCTAAGGATTCCAAGAAGCAGCTGCTCTGTGGCGCCGCTATTGGGACTCACGAAGATGACAAGTACCGGCTGGACCTCCTGGTGCAGGCTGGCGTGGATGCGGTAGTGCTGGTGAGCGTCACCCACGGGCATCACGTTGGCCTGTGGGTTGTGGGTAGGCTGAGGATCTGATCTGAACGAATCTCTAGCAGCAGGGTGCTTGCTGTCTTTGTTACTTTTGTGTTAGAATATGGCACTTTGTTGACCTCGCAGTCTCATTCAGGTTGGAGTCCTCAAATAAGAGGGATTCCTCTTGCCTGGGAACTGATTTGACCTCGAGGGAGTTCGAAGGGTGTGTTGAGGCTCTGAAGGCCGAGAAAAGAAATGCTGCCAGTTAATACAGAATCTTCTACAAATGCTTCTTGCTTTCTGCCACCACCGTCTCTAATGTTGCTAACCAGTTTTAAATATTTGGCTTCTATAATTTCCCTTCAGCACTTTGGCATTTGTTACTCTGTTATTCTGTTAACCACCTGATGTCCAGGAGTGGTCAGCCCAGAGCTGCTCTGCCAGTCTTCCCTTCTGACCCGTAACCTTTTCGGCACAGCCGTCACCGCCTGTGTTTGCACACTGTTTTCTCATTGATTGTTACCGTGCTCTGAGGGCACGGCTGCACGCTGTTGCAGCTGGAAATGTTTAACGGACACGGCGAGTTGGCCAGGTCATGGAGGTTGGCAGGGCCCGAGCGATCGGTGTTCATCTCGTACTTCGGTGACCCTGCTGCGCAGCAGGGAGAGACGCATCCCCCGCCAGCCCTTCGGGGTTTCGCAGGGAACGCTCACCATGTCACCTCCAGTTTGAGACAGGGCTGAGAGTCTCCTGGTGGTAGAGCCAGACAGTTCTTAGCCACAGCCTGACGCGCTGCTTGTTGCCTGCTGCAGAAGCCACAGGATTTAAACATGGAAGTCTTTGTGATAAACTGCATTGCACATGGAAGGTACACTGTTGTCTCAGCAGCAGCATCTCTGGGTCTTTGCTCAATTTGGGGAGTCATTTTGCTCATTTAGGCAGCTTAGCAGAGACCCCAGTAAGGAGAGGGAAGATCTGAGGCTCTTCTGGAGCTGTATTTTTAGTCTTTTGCAGAAATTCTGGTTGAAATTGGTTTTCTTTCTGTTGCAGGATTCCTCTCAAGGGAACTCCATCTTCCAGATCAATATGATAAAATATATTAAGGAGAAATATCCCAACCTGCAAGTTATTGGAGGAAATGGTAGGCATGTGTTGAAGACTATTCTCATCTTTAAATTACATTTGTTTTGTAGACATAGAGGGAGCTGCAGGGATGTGGTAAATGTCTGTGAACTTAAAATGGTTTCCTATGGCTTGTGGAACAGAGCAAGGCCACTCTGCAGACACAGGGCAGTACCCTGCTGCTGCCACAGCTGCCAATACTTTGAAACCTTTGGCAGCACAGAGTGCTGCGGCCCTCTGCAGCCTGGTTTGTGCTGCTTTTACATGCCAGTTAAAATATTGGATAATGAAAATAATAATGAATATTGCTTAATGTGGAAGTCTAATGGAAATTTTCCCTTGACAGCAGAGTTCAGCCAGCAGTCTTTGACTTTACCTAGTGGTGGGTTACTGGTGTGTTACTGGTGCCACTGTTAGCCTGAGCTCTGCCCTCCCTACCTGGTGTGGCCCAAAGAGAGCTTGGCACCACACAGTGACCTCTGCACCCTCGGCCTCTGGGTGTAAGCGTGTTGTGGGGCAGCCTAAAGGTCCGGTGTTCTCTCACCCACTGGGGACAGCCGGGACGGAATTGCACTGCTGCTTTTGCAGATGGGCCTGGCAGCAGTGGACAGCCGGGCCTGGCTCTGACACAGGCTGGTGCCCTGTGGAGGGGATGTTTGCAGCCACAGGGGAGGCACCAGGGCAGAGCAATGTCACGCGCAAATCTGCTTGTCTCTCTCCAAACCGATTTCTGCTCCCCACAGTTGTGACTGCTGCTCAGGCCAAGAACCTCATTGACGCAGGCGTCGATGCCCTGAGAGTTGGGATGGGCAGTGGCTCCATCTGCATCACACAGGAAGGTGAGAGAGATCAGCTGTCTCCTAAATAGGCTGAAGACGTCTGTTTAATAGAGATTCCCTGCTGAAAAGCAGCACAGACAGGATGGACCTCGCCCGTTGTAAGAGCAGTGTCCAGCAGCAAGCCACCTTTTACCCCCTGCCTCCAGGACGTTCTCATGACCTGGCTCAAACCTTTGGGGTGGCAGCAGCAGCAAAGGCATTTCCCAGTACTGACCGAGGCTGAGTAGAGCAGGTGTGGCACACGCTGGCTCGGTGTGGGACGGAGCTGGTGTGCAGCTCTACAGGGAGAGCGGCTTGCTGGGTCCCCAGCGCTGGCAGGTGAAGTGTGCTGGGCTGTCTGCGCTCCACTTCCCCCTGGCAGCAGTGTGTGTGATGCTTGAGTATTGATCTGCTGGGCTTGGTGCCTTTCTGCAATTTCCAAGCTGAAATGGGATTTCTAGCTGTTACCGCAGCAGTTAGATGGAGCGTGTGTGGGACAGAGGCCATGTCACCCTTAGCTAGAGGCGTCCCCAGGGCTCAGAGAAAGGCCGCCTTGAGGACAGGCTCAGTCCTCACGTTTTGAACCTGGCAGGTGAGGTGCAGAGAGGTGCCCCTCTCTGCTTTGCTCCTTGGTCCTTGCCACGGGAGGCAGCAGGAAGGTAGCTGATGCTTGAAGGCGCTGCATTAGCTCTGCCAATTCCAGCGTGAAGCCTTCAGGCAGTCCTAGACCTTGGCTGCTTTGCCCACCGTGGGAGTGCTGGTGGCAGGGGAGCTTCCCAGTCAGGGCAGTCTGTCTTCGGTGACATTTCTAGGGAGGTTGTGGTGTCCTGGGGCTGATGCGTCCACAACCAGAGCAGAACCAGGACACGTGTGTTCTACTCTGGCTCCGAAGCAGAGGACCCCCTGAGGCACACTCCCTTCTGCAGAGGGGTTAACGTTTCCCAGGGGTGCCTCTCCTGGCTGCCGTGGGAGATGGGGTTGGGCGCTCGTTTTGAGGACAACGGAGCAGAGTTAGAACGCGGCACTTCACAGGAGACGTGGTCACAAAACTTAACGGCAGCTCTCCAGTTTTTTGTCCCTCATAGGGCTGAACTCTGTCTCTTTGGGTTAGGGAGGCTCTTGGGGTAGGGCAGCATGCGCTGTGCTGGCATGGATCCACGCCTGGCTGGCGTGGATCTGGCCCCTGGCTTTTGGCTTGGGCTAGGAACGGTTTGCAAGGTCAGCTCTGTCCCACACCGTTTGCTCTACCTAGTAGTAGGTCACTGCTGGGGTCCTTTGTTCTGCTGCTGTTTCTGTCTCTAAAATGTGTGTGTTTGTTTTTGTTTAGCTGCTCCAAAGATCCCTCCAGACCTAAAGTCCCACAGCCCCAAATGCCCTTCTACTGTCACGGGCACCTATAGTAAGTCACTTGCCCTGTTCCCAACCCTAATTATGTGTCTTGAAGCAGGACCCTGATTTGGCTGCACATGGCCCTACTGCTTGTTTGAGAATAATTTAGCTGTAGATGCACTTGGGGTTTTGTGGCTTTGGATACTGGTTTTGAATCTGAAATGGAAGCCGAGAAGCCTTTCTGAATTCCTAAAGCAGGGTCTGAACTGTCAAAGCTGAGGACACTCAGGCCTGTCCAGCCTCCACTCCAAAAATCCACTTAGGAGCCTGACTGGGCTTTCTGACTGCACCTTCTGCATCTCTAGCCAGGCATGCCCCTGCTGACCCAGTGCTGGCAGGTGATCCCTGAGCAGTCCTTGATCCTGATCTAATTCTGGCCCTACTTGTGGGGAAGTTGTGCGCTGGCTAAGCTTCACCTGAAGCGAGCGCCCCCCGGGGTTACAGAGAGACTTAACTGCGTGCGGCCACCTTGGCAGCTGTGAACCAGAACCACTGGTGCCTGAGGAGAGAAGGGGCTCTTCTCCTGCCCAGCACAGGGTGCAGCGGTGTCTGCTCTGGACTTCTCTGATGCTACCGGATCAAGCAGTCATCTGAGGCAAGCCTTTGGTTTTGCCCTTTCTCTCCTGGTTTTGACACACCTCAAAGGGAAACAGGTTGAAGATCCTGGAAGGTTTTCTCTAGCAGATGATCTTGTAGGGCCACCCTTTGCAGATACGCTAAAAGAGACAAACCCTCCCCCAGACCTCTCGGTGTGTGCGTGCTCTGAACCCTGCTTTGGAAGCCTGTGCTGTGGAGCTGTGGTGCTGGGCACTGGGACAGTCGGAAGGGTGTGATGCTCCCAGGGGCCCTGTGCCAAGCTGTTCCTTAAAGGGCTGGTCTCCATGGTTGCTCTTGCGAGGTTTCTGCAGGCCCTGCAGTGTCTGCGGCACGATCCCATAGACCCTAGACTCTAGACCTTCCAAAATCAGGCACTTCTCTCCACAGAGCTCTTCCATTGCAGTATTTTTGCAGCTGCAGCGTGGCCTTCAGCAGTGCAATACTGAGGGAGACCACCTCTTTAAGACTAACGGCACTCATGTTGTAGCTGGCAGACTCTCCCTGGCTGGCTGAGACCTAGCTTAACGCTGAGTTTTGTTCGATTAAAATTAGTTCTTTCACAGTCTCAGCCTGGAGTCTGGCTTCCCTCTCTCAGCAGCTGCTGCTGAGCACGGGGAGTGGAGCAACTGCAGACTCTCAGGCTCAGCAAACCTCTGCCAGGGACTTGTGCTGCCAGCGCTGCTGCCAGGCAGGCTAAACCACACCTGGGGTTTGTGCTCTGAAGTACTAATCCTGCATGGCCGTGATCTTACCCAGTGTATCGGACTAACTGTTACTGGAGAAAAGGCTTCCACTTCATTGCGGCAAAGGGAAGTCTCCCTGAGAGAAGCTTATCTCTGTGTACTTGCATGCCGGTGGCTGCCATGTGTGTTACAAAGACATGCCCTGTGCTGGCTTGCCCTCGCACTGTGGGAAGCCGCTGACTGCGAAGATCAGGTAAATCCAGAGCTAGTAACTTCCCTCCTGTGGGGCACCTAAACTTGACAGAATCCTTGCTACGTTACAGGGCAGGAATATAAATTATTTCCCATAAGCCATCAAATCATCCTGCCCGTTTCCTTTTCCACTGCCGCATATATGTGTGTGTGTGTGTGTGTGCAGATATATATGGATAGACACCTAAATATATCCATATGTATGCACACCAGCTCTCTCCCAGCCAGCTGCCTTTCCGTGCAGGAAACTCACCACATAGCTTCCGGTTTTGTGGAGAAGGGCTCTGGCACCACTAGGAGGGAGCAAGCGGTGGGATGTGGCTACATGCCAGGAATGCTCTGGAGAGGGGCTTTCGGAGCCTGCCCTGCTTCCTTCTCAGGCTCCCCACATGACTGCTGTGCTCCAGGATGAGCTGTGAGTCTCGGCTGATTCCAGGCATTCGGGTAAAAGACTCCAGCCCCACAGTCACCCACAGCGTTTTGGAGCTGAGGGCCACAAGGATGTCCCAGCAGGCATCTCCTGGGCATCCGCTCCTTTTGCAGCTGAGCCTAGGGAAGGAGCATGCAGGGATTTGTGCGTTCCTGAGTGCTGGAGCATGTGTGTGCCAGAAGCCTAAAAGGGCCTCCTGGGGATGGGACGCGCTGCTGCTTAGAACTGACCCTCTCCCCGCTCTCTCCTCGCCTGCAGTGCTGGCGTGCGGCCGCCCCCAGGCCACAGCAGTGTACAAGGTGTCCGAGTACGCCAGGAGATTCGGCGTTCCTGTGATTGCGGATGGAGGGATCCAGACGGTTGGGCACATCGCGAAGGCCCTCGCGCTGGGTGCCTCCACAGGTGAGCACTGGGCAGCTGCGTCGCACGCGTTGTAGAGGGTCTCCTCGGAAGGGTTTCCATACGGCATCATATCCTGGGTGTGAGGGTGTATTACCTGTAGGTCGCTGGGGGCATGGGATGGGTTCAGCCCAGCGCTGCACCCAGGGACCCCGAGCGTTTTGCGGCCACGGCCTTCGTGCTGCTGACACTCAGTTCTTGGTGCTCTCTTGTGCTAGTGATGATGGGCTCTCTGCTGGCCGCTACCACGGAGGCTCCAGGCGAGTACTTCTTCTCGGATGGCATTAGGCTGAAGAAATATCGTGGCATGGGCTCACTAGATGCCATGGACAAGAACCTGGGCAGCCAGAACCGGTATTTCAGGTAAGAGGTGGTGCTTTGGGGCAGCAGATTAAGTTTTTGGGGCTGCTCTGCATCACAAAGTTCCTTGATTTGTGCTCCCATGCAGCGAGACGGACAAAATCAAGGTGGCCCAGGGGGTCTCCGGCGCAGTGCAAGACAAGGGCTCTATCCACAAGTTCATTCCGTACCTGATTGTTGCCAGGATATTGGTGCCAAAAGCCTGACCCAAGTCCGGTGAGTGCTTCCTCTCACTTGTGCTCTGGTGAGGTCGACAGTGCTGACATTTGGGGTCCCTGGGCAAGCTGCATCCAAGCTGCATGTTCTGACCTCGCTGTAGTCCTCTTCCCTCCTCTCTGGTGGGATCTCCAGCCCCAGGGATGCAGGAGTGTGGTGGTCTCTTGTGGCATATTCAGCTAGGCTTGAAATGTTGGGGTTACCTTGCTCTGCCTGGCTCTTAGAAGCACAGCAGAGACCATTCTGGAGGGCCAAGTGTCCACCATCCGAGCTGCTCCAGCTGCACGTGTGCCAGAGCGCTGTCTTCTCTGGACTTGAGCTGGCTTGTGACACGTGTCCTTCCCCGCCAGAGCCATGATGTACTCGGGAGAGCTGAAGTTTGAGAAGAGGACGATGTCTGCGCAGGTGGAAGGAGGGGTGCATGGCCTCCACTCGTAAGTGCTTCTGCTGAGACCCCTCTCTCCCCTGGGTGGGTGTTGGGGCGGGAGTTAAGCACAGTTGTCCTGTGCCTCAGCTTGTCGCCAGGCCTGGGCCAGCCCTCTTCGCCACAGGGCACGAGCAGACGAGCTGCTCCCCCTCAGTGTGCCGTGTGTGCCGTTCCAAACCATGCCTTTGGTCCTTGTTGTGGGTGAGGTGAGTAAGAGGGCTCTCTGGTTTGCTGCTCCCCTCACAGGTATGAGAAGCGCCTCTTCTGAAGGTCTGTCGTCTGTCATCGTGCCACTCAGCCCTGTGCCACCCCGTGCGGGAGCTGCTCTTGCTGCAGAAGTGCCATTATTCTGTGGGCTGCCTGGAGCTCCCTGTGTCCCTTGGCTGCTTCATCCACCCCCCCAAAGGGCCCACCTCCAGCCCAGGAGTGGTGATCCTGGGCTGGCGCCTGGAGCCTTACACGTGTTGGCCGCGTTTTACAATAAAAGAGGAAAACATGTGCAATCAGTGTCAGCCCGGAGCCCCTCTTCCTTTTGTACCACCCTTAATTCTCCTTCCTTGGTGTTCTCCTTGGCTTCCTGCACCCTCTCAGGAGCAGCTGGTGGTAGCAGGAGGGATGCTGTGTGTGTGTGTAAAGGGGGAAAGGGGAGGGCTCAGTGGATAATGCAGAGTATTTTAAAAAAAAACCCCCACCTTCGTGCAAGCAGAAAACAAATGGCTGCTGGGCAAGAAACCAAATGGCTCTTACACAGACATCAGCTACTGCTGGGAGCTGCCAAACCCGGCAGCAGCCAGGCTGCGGCAGGATAAGCACGTAAGTGCTGCTGGGTACGTGCACACCCACCCAGGCACCTGTCAGTCATATGTGTGCGTCCTCCAACACGTGCAAACGCCACACCTGCTGAAGTGTTTTGTGTCTCTAATGTTCTTGACTGGAAAAACAAACAAACAAACAAACAAAAAAAACCCCCAGAACCAAAAACCACACTTGCAGCATAGTGATGTCAAATTAGATTTACACTTGCTAAAACCAGAGCCTTGACTCACAATGTAATCATGTCAGTGTCAAACACTCATTAAAACAGCGGACTTATTAAGCAAAGCTGTGCAACAGCCTGACTCAGGGCTGCAGTCGCAATCCCCTCCCTCTGGGCCCCCCCAACCCCCCCACAGTGGAGGGTTTGGGGTGTGAGGCTGTGATTAGGTACACATAGCCGCCCCCCAGCCCTGGGATGGTATCTGGACCCATCAGCAGTACAAGGAGGGGGCACAGTGCCCTGCTCCATGTCCCCTGTGTGAGGTGAGCCTGCAGGGAGATGGGGTGCAGCACCCAGGGACCAACTGGACCTTGAGGCTTCACAAGAGACAGCAGCCACTGTACAAAGTCCCTGGGACAGGCCAGCACCAGCTGGGACATGCCAGTTGGCAGTGTCTGCCATGCGCAGGGAGCTGCTGGCAGGTGGCAGCCCCAGCAGTGACC